GGTCATGAACTTCTAAATGAAGAAAAAAAAGCTTCCTGGTGCTTTTCCATTACATCTCACTCCAATGGCGTCTGTTGTGCTTTTGTTGTAGATACCAGCCAGACTGTGTGCAATAAGCTCTTCAACTGATAAATACTTTTGTTCCAATTATTTCTCTAGAATGGTAACTATAAAAATAGTGAGCTGACATTGGTGACCTTAGCAGATGAAACTGAATGTTAGAAGCAAATTGCCTCTTATGTGAGTGTTAATAGTGATTTGTAACACTGGGACCTTTAGATTGCCTTTATTTTCTGAGTATAGCTCCAGGGTTCCCAACGTGCAGCCACTGGGAAGAATGTACTAGTGTGTATTTCAAGTCATGATATAGTGGCTTATAACAAGACCCAGGAAGCATTTCTATTCAGCTGAAATTCTTCTGTTTCCCTTAGTATAACTGACTAAATCTTGCATTCACCAAAAACAAAGCAAAACCAAGTTCTCCCATGTTAAAGATGGCGAATGTGCATTCTAAAGTTTCAAGTGTTCAGTAAATATTTTAAGGTTTCACAGGCTCAACCTAAGTTTTATCTGACAGATCTTAAGTGCTTTTCTTGAAAGGTTTCTGGAAATGTTTTTCTGACTGCCACACTTTTCCCTTTTCATTCTCTTTGCTTCCCTGTCGCTTTATTTTCCACAAACAGGTGTTCATTTGCTCCATCAGCACAGTGTTCAATAGCGGCAGCAGAAAGTACTTAGTGATCTAAAAGAGGGAGCAGTGGATTTTGACATAATCCTGTTTGGGTTAGAACAGACTCCTAAATAAACTACTGCAATGGGACACCACTGTTTACTAGCAGTAAGAGGATTGTATTCAAAGTGTAGCAGTACCATTGTGGTTTCTGGAGTCATTCATCTGTGATGAGCCAAAACAGAAAGCACACTTACATGTATCGTGTTCTCCGGTGACAAAAGAAGGTGTTTCTGTTTTTCTTAAAGCATTTGTAAGCATAAGTTAGTTATATCACTCATTTAAGGTAATAAGCTAGTCTAATACTATAATGAGTTTTTAGTGCAAAAATGTGTGATTATTTAAATTATGGCCTGACCTGATCTGACAAAATAAAAGCAAAATATATAAATAAAATCTATCACTAAATGCTTAATGTTTTAATGCATTTTAAATTATTAACATATATAGCGACACAATGGTATTACATGCATGTCACAGAATGTGGAAATACTCAGATTTATTTAAAATTATAGTATAATACATTGCCATTCACTTTATACTAAAAAAAAACCCCTACTTTTAAATTGCCATCAACATTTAATAAATGTAAGTAACAGAAAAGTGTAAGCAGTGAAGATAAAAACATAAAAACAGATGCAGATATTGCTTTTTAAAATTCTTATTCCATCTAAAAACCCAACCTACACTTTGGACGTGCACAATAACTAATACAGCTCAATCACTGACATCTCAGTAGGCAGTTTGGTGTTTTATGCTAGTAGTAGCTAGCTTGTTGTAGTCTAGCATTTACTGAATACATAGAAACTCAACATTATTTCCAGCTATAGATTCTTGGCTTCAAAACCAACTGATAATTCATAAAAGCAGTTTGCTGGAGCTATAAAAAAGGATGCACAAGAAAAAAAGAAGAGCGAGTGGACACAAATAAATACAACTAAAAGCATAATGTAAGTAAACTAAAAGTAAAGTAAAAGCCTTATTTCTCTAAAATACCATCTGTAAATTTTAAACATATAGATCAACAAGTCCAAGTCCACAAGCCTTTTGGGTACATGTCCCTCCCCCACCATCTTCTCAGCATGCACACACCAAAAATTTAGACTGAAGGCACACGCACGTTGACCTTGAGGGTGTTAGCTGTGTTGACATTTGTTTGGACAGTGCTTCAATTCCTCAGACTGCTGCAAGGTCACGTGGCTTGACATCAAAGAAAAGAATTTCTTCCTGGGCGACACTGAGAGCTCCGGTGTTTATTCTAAAACTGACTGCCTCCCTGTCTGTGTTTCTGTCTCTGGCAATCGCTGCTTCATCCCTGCCTGCCTGTCTCATTACCTGTGCACAATATCTGCACAGCTGTTGTCTTAAGACTGTATGTTCCCGTGGAGTTTTTTTTCTTTTAAATATTATTATTATTTCTTTTAGCTTTTGGCAGTAGATACCCACACACAACTTTAGTGCAGAGAAAGCTTTGACAATGATTTAACATTTGTTTGGTGCCATGCGTATCGTCAGCCTGCTGCCTGGTAATGTAGAGTGACTGGACCTGGCCGGTTCTTCTGTACTTTTCACTTCAATGCTATTTAGCGCAAAATGGTGATTGCTCTATTTAACTCCATTTTAAGCAAATTTAGTTTTATTTAGTAACATTTCTTTAAACCACAGCCAGACGAAATGTTCAGAAACACATTGTGGTTTGGAGTGATTTCCACCTGTTGCTTATAACTCGCCGTGTTCATCTTCACGCTACAAATCTGGTCAAGATGTGGGGTTTTGTGCTTTGGTTACTGGCTACAGATCAAATACACACAGACACCAGAGATGATTAGAGATTAGAAGTAAACAAAGTAAGAATACTGTAGTTAAACTGTGCAGCATATCATTTAAAAAAAAAAAAAGATGCAAAAGAAAAGACCTGACAGGGAAACTGCTGTTCTGACTAAGGCTACGTCCACACTAGCCCGGATAGATTTTTAAACGGCGTTTTCGTCTGATTTCAGTGATTTCAAACGAAAACGCATTAGTGTGGGCGTAGCCTAAACATTCTACTTGCGAGATCTACATTTAATAGACTGATTGTCTTGTCACAGTGTTGGAAGCACCAAGCTGTGCATTCACCAGAGAGCAATTCATGTGCATGTTTAGCTTTGAGGTTTTCCCCCCAGGGATGTTTTGTTTTGATGTCTTCCACTGCAGCCAGATGAATGGACACATGGAGAGCTGGGGGGGAGGAGGGGACTGTTGGACATGTTAAAGGACACCTGTGGGGCTTTGTGGGCCTCCCATGATGGACGGGGGGTTCCGCTTCAGGTGGCAGTAATTTCTCTACACCGTAGGGAGGGGTAGTGGGGTCAGGTTGTGCGTGTGTTTTACGTGTGTGCGTGTGACT